TTTTTTTTTTTTTTTTTTTTTTTTTTTTTTTTTTTTTTTTTTTGTTTTTGCTAGAATGTGAAGATTCTAGCCTACATCTGCTATTTTGTTTATTGTATTCGGCTATTTGTTTGCTTCTCATTCAACAAATGAAAAAGCTATTTGGGAAACAAAGTTGTAACGTGTATGTACAAGCTTTGAATGAGCTTTGTACTTAATGGATCTATGTGTCATTTTATGATTTTGAGTTGTGTTGAATTCTTGCCTTCATAACTAAGTTTTAGATTTTAGCTAATGTATGCTTGCTGAACTCGGATTGGTTCTCATCCCGGTCGGATTAACTCTGGTTAGTTGTGATTGTTTTTCTGTTGTGTTTTATTCTACACTTTCAAACTAAAAGAAGAATTTGTTGGTTTAGTAGTGAAATTGGCGTTTGGAAATTTTGGTGTTTAGTTGTGCAAACTCGAAGGAAGAAATGACTGGAAGTGAAACTCAGGCTTAGGCTAGTGAGGATCGAAAAATTTCTCCGGCTAGCGAAACAAATAGAAGGAGACAGATGCAAAGCTGTTAGGTATACTAGGCTGCAAAATATACGGAGAACCTCGTCTTGTTCGGCTTTTATACCTCCTCAACATTACTCCTATCCGAAAAATGCTATCCTATTTCTAGTGTTAAATTTCTCAAAACGTTAGAACAAATTGTTGTAAGCCCTTTGTCTTGGTTTTCTCATTGGATGGAAGGAAAGTGATAATTGAGGGGGAGGAATTCTCCAAAAGATGGCCAAAAATTTATATAATTTGAAAAGCCCTCAGATTTTCTTCAATAGTTCTTGGGAAGGGCCATGTTAATTGATTACTGCTTTCAGCCAGCCTTATTACATATGAAACTCTAAGACTGTTCTTTTTAATGTATCGTTGGTTTATTAACTCCTTTTCTTTAGCTGTCATCTGTATGAAACATGGAAGAAATGATCTGTACGCAATAATGATTGCGTGCGGAAATGAAGGCCAAATGATTGAAGTGATACCCCATTGGTTCCTGTGGTTAGACCTTTGTGCACAATGTTCAAATCTATGCTGAAAATTAGCTCGCAACTTTTTGAATGTGTAATGCAGCAAATGATCCTTAATGTTATATTAGAGCAATACAGAACTGACCTTTTTGCTTCACCGTTAGTTAACTTTTTTATGTATATTTGATGTTGAGCCTTCTTACTGACTAGTACTTGCGAGTTACTGAGTAGATGACTTACTTTCGTGAAGCAGGAAACTTTAAGGGCTGGAAAGTTAAACGAGAGGGTTTTAAAGTTGTTCGTGGCAACTGGAAAAGATGAAGTTCTTTCGCTCATTGAGGCATTCAATATCCAGCAAATTGTCACCCCTGTTCTTCCTACCAGTAAGAAAAATCTAGATATTACCGATGTTCTGTTGCTCGATTTTGTGATCGGTTTATCCATTTATCTTCCTTACACTGAATACTTGATGCAGGGTGTTCAGAAAAATTCTAGGATTCAGTGATAAAACTTCTGCTGCTTCTTTTAAGGAGAGTTGCCAATCTTTTCTTTTCTTTTTTAAATTATTATCACAAATCATTGTTTTTATTTTCTTGAGAAGTTTTAAAGATGTCCCAGCTTAATATTATGGATAGCGAGGTCGACATTGTAGTCGGAGCGCTCCACTCTGATCTGACTTCATTTATGAACGAATGGAAGCCTATTTTCTCCCAATACCACTTGATTATTGTCAAGGATCCTGAACTCAAAGAGGACCTCATAATTCCAGATGGCTTTGATCTGGACGTCTATACTCAACAAGATATAGATAGAATTGTTGGTGCTTCTAATTCAATTAAATTCTCTGGTTACTCTTGCCGATACTTTGGCTACCTCATGTCCAGAAAAAAATATATCATCTCAATTGATGATGACTGTGTTCCAGCCAAAGATGATAAGGGCTTGTTAGTAGAATTTGTAGCACAGCACATATCGAACCTTTCGACTCCAGCCACTCCTTTCTTCTTCAACACATTGTATGATCCATTTAGGAAAGGAGCGGATTTCGTCCGTGGTTACCCATTTAGCTTAAGGAGTGGGGTTGCTTGTAGTCTGTCATGTGGACTGTGGCTGAATCTAGCAGATTATGATGCACCAACACAAGCCCTCAAGCCAAGTCTGAGGAACACGCGCTATGTCGATGCAGTCCTCACTATTCCAGCAGGGGCCATGTTGCCTGTGAGTGGAATCAACATTGCGTTCGATCGAGAGGTGGTTGGTCCTGCTTTATGTCCAGCTTTGAGATTGGCCGGGGAAGGAAAGTTTCGGTGGGAAACCATGGAAGATATATGGTGCGGATTATGCGTTAAGGTAACATGTGATCACCTGAAGCTTGGTGTGAAAAGTGGGCTGCCATATGTTTGGAGAAATGAAAGAGGAAGTGCAGTAGAGAGCCTGAAGAAAGAGTGGGAAGGGGTGAAGCTAATGGAAGAAGTTGTTCCCTTCTTTCAAACTCTTAGGTTACCAGAAGCAGCAGTTACAGCTGAAGCCTGTTTCCTCGAGATAGCAAAGGCAGTGAAGGAGAAGCTCGGTCGCTCGAACCAAATGTTTGCTCGTGCTGCTGATGCCATGGTCGAATGGGTCGAGATTTGGAAGAACGCTGGATCTGGTCCTTTGCCTGTGGACAATTAGGAGGAGTTGATGAGTGAGTTTGGCCTCCTTCACTTCCTCCCCCACCCTTCCCTTCAATTAATAACAGAAAGCTCCCTCTATTTTCTTGCTGTAACAACGATTTGAGAAGGCTGTTGAAATTTCGTAATGGCGAAGAGAGAACTGTTTCACAGTTATTTTACTTTCATGTTTGATATATCTCAGCATCACTGAAGGCTGTTGTTTTGTTGTTTGATTGGCTGTGGACAATGGATGCTTCGTATGAATTGCTTGTGATTGAATACGGTTCTGGCCATACTAATTTCTTCTAATATGGTTCTTAATCAATTTTTGCTTCGAATAGATTTTTAAACTTTTTAATCTAACTGTCCAAGCTCTTTGAACGTTTATCCTTAGTAGGGACGCATCGCCCTCTTTGAACTGTCTATTGCTAGTAGGGACGCATCGTCCTCTTTGAACTGTCTATTGCTAGTAGGGACGCATTGTCCCCTTTGAATAGTCTATTGCTAGTAGACATTGTCCTCTTTGAACCATCTATTACTAGTAGGGATGCATTGTTCTCTTTGAACCGTCTATTCTTAGTAGGGACGCACTGTCCTCTTTGAATAGTCTATTCCTAGTAGACATTGTCCTCTTTGAACCGTCTATTACTAGTAGGGATGCATTGTCTTCTTTGAACCGTCTATTACTAGTAGGGACGCATTGTCCTCTTTGAACAGTCTATTGCTAGTAGGGATGCATTGTTCTCTTTGAACAGTCTATTCCTAGTAGGGATGCATTGTCCTCTTTGAACAGTCTATTCCTAGTAAGGATGCATTGTCATCTTTGAACAGTCTATTACTAGTAGGGACGCTTGACGCATTGTCCTCTTTGAATAGTCTTTTGCTAGTAGACATTGTCCTCTTTAAACAATCTAATGCTACATTGTCCTCTTTGAACAGTCTATTGCTAGTAGACATTATTCTCTTTAAACAGTCTAATGCTACATTGTCCTCTTTGAGCAGTCTATTGCTTGTAGACACTGTCTTTGAGCAGTCTATTGCTAATAGACATTGTCTTCTTTTTTCCTCTTTGAGCAGTCTATTACTAGTAGACATTGTCTTCTTTGAATAGTTTATTGCTAGCAGATATTATCTTCTTTGAGCAGTTTATTACTATAAGATATTGTCTTCACCCAATATACATTATCCTCTTTGAGCAGCCTATTATTAGTAGATATTGTACTTTTGCGCAGCTTTTTGCTAGCTATCCTCTTTGGGCAGTCTATTGCTAGCCGATATTGTCCTCTTTGGGGCAGCCTATTGCTAGCAAATATTATTTTTTTATTTTTGTGTTTGTATCAATGAGACCGAGCAGAAGTTGGAAAAGAGTCTATTTTCGTAATTATATTTTCCAAAAAAATAATAAAACGACGTTATTTTTTTATTTTTTTTAATTTTTTAATTTTAAATTTATAATTTCCTCGGTGTTTCTTCGTGGGCTTCTCAGGCGGAATCTTTCGAGTAATCATTGCCGCTCAGAACCACCAAGATACCATCAGCCGTTCCTTGGCGGTCCGCACAGCGGAAAACGCCAAGCAAATTGTCCGGCATTTATCTTTTTCACTCATTTTAGCTTCCTCTCTCTCTCTCATTCTCTGTTTACAACTTAGCTTGCTCGGCATCTTCCACGAATTTGTTCTTCTCTTCATTTCCGATTCTGATATCTTAATTTTATCCAAAAACAAAGCAACCCATCTTCCATGGCTGCCAATTTCGCCATGTTTAAACCTTATTCCTCATTTTCGACCCCATCATTTGTTCAGACCAAATTTCGTACGCATAGATTATTATGCACTGGCCCATCTTCCTCTTATTATCCACGATGTCAAGGAGGTTTGTTGTCAGCTACCTTTCGTTTCGTGAAGTAATTTTTGTGTTTTTCCTTGTGGGATTTCTTTTTTGTCCTTCCTTATCTTGTTTGGCTTCTGGGTTCTTAGGAGCTTATGGTTTACGCGTCGTTAAATGTGCTTCTTCTAATGGTAAGGAGCCTGATTCGTTGGATGATGGAGTTAAAAGTGTGGAGCAGTTACTTAAAGAGAAACAGCGGGCAGAATTGTCTGCTCGGATCGCCTCTGGAGAATTCACAGTGGAAAAAGCTGGGTATACAAGTATTTGTGTACTAGATCCTACGAATTGATAGCTCTTTCTTAATATATGGACTGACATAATGCTTGATTATTATGTGTTTTGTTTTGGGAATCAAGTTTTCCATCTGTGTTGAGGAGTGGGTTGTCGAAGATGGGTGTTCCTAGTGATATTCTGGATTTACTATTTGGTTTCATCAATGCTCAAGAACAATATCCCAAGATCCCTGAAGCTAAAGGATCATTAGATGCAGTTCGTAGTGAGGCCTTCTTCATACCTCTGTATGAGCTTTATCTCACGTATGGTGGGATCTTTAGATTGAGTTTTGGGCCAAAGGTTTGTTCCTATTTAGTTCTATAAGTTGCAGCAACTTATTCCGCATTGTGACAACTTGTAAGGTATCCCTTAATGTATGATATCTTGGTCTTCTTGCAGTCGTTCTTGATTGTTTCTGATCCTTCCATTGCTAAACATATACTGAAGAATAATCCAAAGAATTATTCTAAGGTACTCCTGTTTGTCAAGTTAGTAAAATTTGTTGGTTCCTTCTTTGTATACTGATGATAGTTGGATGCACAGGGTATCTTAGCTGAAATTCTTGACTTTGTCATGGGGAAGGGACTTATACCAGCTGATGGAGAGATATGGCGTGTACGAAGACGGGCTATAGTCCCATCTTTGCATATGAAGGTAGGGTAACTCTTACTTGCCCTTTCCGCGTGTACTTACTTTTTTGCTTAGATATTTGCTCATAAGAATGATGGCAAGTAATAAAGCAAGTCATTTGTGAGATCCTACATTGCTTGGAGAGGGAAATGAAGCATTCCTTATAAGGATGTGAAAACCTCTCCCTAGTAGATGCGTTTTAAAACCGTGAGGCTGACGGTGATACGTAACGGACCAAAGCAAACAATATCTATTAGCGGTAGTCTGGGGCTGTTACAAATGGTATCAAAGTCAGGCACTGACGGCGTGCCAGCGAGGACGCTGGCTCCCAAGGGGGGTGGATTGTGAGATCTTACATTGTTGGTTGGAGAGGGGAACGGAGCATTCCTTATAAGAGTGTGGAAACCTTTCCCTAGCAGACATGTTTTAAAACTGTGAGGCTGACGGTGATACGTAATGAGTCAAAGCGGACAATATCTACTAGTAGTGGCCTCAGGCTGGTACATCATCCCAACAACGTGTGTGTAAGTGTAACGACTGAGGCTCACCGCTAGCAGATATTGTCTTCTTTAGGCTTTCCCTTTCGGGCTTCTCCTCAAGGTTTTTAAAACGCGTCTGATAGGGAGACGTTTCCACACCCTTATAAAGAATGTTTTGTTCCTCTCTCCAACCGATGCGATATCTTACAATCCACCCTCCTTCGGGGCCCAACGTCCTCGTTGGTATTCGTTCCTCTATCCAATCGATGTGGGATCTCACAGTCCACCCCCCTTCGGAGTCCAGCGTCCGCGCTGGCACATCGCCTGGTGTCCATCTCCCTTTTGGGCTCAGCGCCCTTGCTGACACACCACCCAATGTCCACCCCCCTTTGGGGTTCAGTGTCCTCACTGGCATACCGTCCGGTGTAAAATTAAACTAAATGAAGTCTCGATTATTCATTACAGTAACTGTGAGGATGGTATAAGATGCTATTGCTTATCTAGAATGCTCTCTGCACAGAGGGAGGTACATTGGAATCTAGGTGTCGGGAGAGTAAGGGGAGGTCTCGAATCTTCTTTCCGATGTGTACTCTGTTTACAGTTGATACTAGCGAAATCTTTTGTCTTCCTAGCCCTCAAGAAACCCTTTTCATGTAGCACTTAAAAATTAAGCCATCCATTTATAACATATACACTTCTGTTGATCTTTTCATGTAGTATGTAGGAGCTATGATTAATGTTTTTGGAGAAGCTGCAGATAGGCTTTGCAATAAGCTAGATGATGCAGCATCTAATGGTGTAGATGTGGAAATGGAGTCCCTCTTCTCCCGTCTGACTTTAGATATCATTGGCAAAGCAGTTTTTAACTATGACTTCGATTCACTTACAAACGACACTGGCATAGTTGAGGTATCTCTTTCCATTTCTTTTTCCTATTGAAAATCCTGATGTTCTTTGACATCAGTATGTCAAATTTTTCTGGTTTTTGTAATGCTTATATTCCATTTAGAGCAGGCTGTTTACACTGTTCTAAGAGAAGCAGAAGATCGCAGCGTTGCACCAATTCCGGTATGGGAAATTCCAATTTGGAAGGATATTTCTCCACGGCAAAAAAAGGTCTCTAAAGCCCTTAAATTGATCAATGAAACCCTCGATCAACTAATTGCTATATGCAAGGTGAAGTAGCAATTGCAGGCCTCAAAGTTGATCAGGATCTGAACTCTCATTTGACTCTAATGTTTTTCACTCATTTTCAGAGGATGGTTGATGAAGAAGAGCTGCAGTTTCATGAAGAATACATGAACGAGCAAGATCCTAGCATACTTCATTTCCTCTTGGCATCGGGAGACGATGTACGTTCCTAATAGTTGACTAGTCGATGAAAATTGGAGACCCAACTAGTTGACAACTTTCTGGGCTATTATGTGTAGGTTTCAAGCAAGCAGCTTCGTGATGACTTGATGACTATGCTCATAGCTGGGCATGAAACAACTGCTGCAGTTTTAACATGGACCTTTTATCTTCTTTCCAAGGTAATCGATTTCTTCGCATTTAAGAGGCACTAAGTATATGTCCCTCTTTCGGTCTGGACATAAAATTTTATCCAACACATAAACACATAAGATATATTCTGTTTTATCATTCAATACTTGTAGTATGTTCCACAGTACATAGTGCTACAATCCAATTCAAATTGTTCACCATGAAATCGTCTCAACTTTAGCCGTGATTTTTGGTTGCAGGAGCCTAGGATCATGGCCAAGCTCCAAGAGGAGGTAATGAAGTCTTCTTCTATACTTTTATTGTAGATAAAGAACAAAAAATCCTTATCTTTCATACTGGTGTAATTTTGTTAGGTTGATTCGGTCCTCGGGGATCGGTTTCCAACTATCGAAGATATGAAGAACCTCAAATATGCCACACGAATAATTAACGAAGTGAGGTTTCATAGCTGTTCAATTTAATATATTATTGTGGATGTATTCCATATTGTTGAGTGACTTTCTCCTGCAATTACAGTCCTTGAGGCTTTACCCACAGCCACCAGTTTTAATACGTCGATCTCTTGACAACGATATGCTCGGAAAGTACCCAATAAAGAAGTAAATAACAAATCAACTGTTTCATTCTCTTCTCATAGCTTTAGTATTACATGAAGTTTTATTTATCTTCAATATAAACTTTGTTCTATTTCTAAAATCACATAACTAGCTATTTTGATGTTAGCATTAAGAGGATAATGGGAAGTAATGGTTTATATTTGCAGGGGTGAAGACATATTCATATCTGTTTGGAACTTACATCGCAGTACAGAACTTTGGGATGATGCAGATAAATTTAATCCTGAAAGGTGGCCTTTGGATGGACCCAATCCTAATGAGACCAATCAAAATTTCAGGTTCGATACATACGTATTTATAGTGTATTAGTCAAGGGAGGTAGATTGTGAGATCCCACATCAGTTGGAGAGGGGAACAGAGCATTCCTTATAAGAGTGTGAAAAACTTTCCCTAGTAGACACGTTTTAAAACCTTGAGGAGAACCCAGAAGGGAAAGTCCAAAGATAACAATACCTGCTAGCGGTGGGCTTGGGCTGTTACATCTACCGCCCCCGCTTTAGGAATACATGGAAGAATATCCCAAATTTGCATTGATTATTAATGGAGTGCAATTACCATTCAAGCTGACAAAAGAATGATACGAGTTGGTAGATAAGAATACTAATTGATATCTCAAGCCAATCTATTGATTTATTCCTAAACTTGTGAAACAAAACAGAAGATAGGATGATTCAATTAGATGGCTTAGCATTAACGATAGTATTGCTATGCATCTATTGTCTTTTATGAGAACTAATACCTACAACAATCGATATTATAGGTATTTGCCGTTCGGTGGTGGACCACGGAAATGTGTGGGAGACATGTTTGCTTTGTACGAGGTATTTGTTCTAAATAGGATTTAAAAAGTTGTTCATTTGCAGCAGCAACGATGACAACAACAAAAAGAACAGAAAAGACAACAGAATACTAAATATTCGTTTTCCAATATACAGGCTGTTGTAGCACTTGCCATGCTTGTTCGGCGATTTGACTTCCAAATGGCACTTGGAGCACCTCCTGTATGTTTCTGCCTGATATGTTTTTTTTTTTTTTTTTTACTCGTGTTCTTCAAGTCTTCCTTTATGTTGTACGAATGGTGTTCTTCGACTGGTATAGCTTCATTCTCCACCTTAGTTTTGTGAAATCCCACATCAGAGAACGTAGAGCATTCTTTGTAAGGATGTGCAAATCTCTCCTTAGTAGACGTGTTTTAAAAATTTTGGGGGGAAGCCCGAAAGGGAAAGCCTAAAGAAGACAATATCTACTAGCCGTGAGCTTGGACTAGCTTAGGCGCAAAATTTGTTTTTCAGTTAGGATGTGAAGTCTTAAACCATCACTAGTTTCCTGTTTACGAACAGTTGAATGTAGGAGAGTAACAAGATCTGTTCTGGGTCTTACAACTGTGTTCTTGAGTTGTTTGATGCTTCATGAAACTAAGATCATCCCTACAGGTAAAAATGACAACTGGAGCTACGATTCATACGACAGATGGATTGAAAATGACGGTTACACGAAGAATGAAACCTCCAATCATACCCACATTAGAGAAGATGCCTGCAATGGTCGGTGATTCATCGGTCGGTTTCTTGAAAGATGAAACAGAAATTGCTCAAGAAGGAGAAGTTTCTTCTGCTCATTCTTGATAATACTAGCAGTGTCTCCCCATGGTTGAAATTAGTCTACTCAAGTAAGAAGATGCAGGAAGAGAGGAACCCGAAAACCGATGACTCGTTAGTGAATCATCGATTGTATATTGAATGATTTGTATATGTAAACAAAAAAAAGAAACTGTTCTTATTATACTTCTTGAATGTTATAAATATAGATGTATTTCCCTGTCTAAATCCGTTGATTTGGCTACAAACTTTAGTGCTGTTCTTTGTACTGATGAAATGGAAGCAAGTATTTTCTGGGGTTGAGCAGAATCATGGTCGTTTCAGAGTAGGGAAAAAAACAACTTGAAAATTTGGGTCATCAAATCTTATAATCGAGTTTTTTCGGTTGATTTTTTGGTATGGTAAGGACCCTAAACTCACCACTAGCAGATATTGTTCGTTTTAACTCGTTACATATTGGTGTTAACCTCACGGTTTTAAATCGTGTTGTAGATGTTTCACACTCTTATCAGAAATGTTTTGTTCCCTTCACCCCTTGGGGTCCAATATCCTTTCGGCACATCATTCGATGTCTGACTCTGATACAATTTGTAACAACCTAAGTCTATTGTCTGTTTTAGCCTATTATGTATCGTCGTCAATCTCACAATTTTACGTGTCTACTGGAGAGAAGTTTTCACACTCTTATAATGAATGTTTTCGTTTCCCTCTTCAATCGGTGTGGGATCTCACACTTTCGCAGAGAGAAAATCAATACAAAGAAGATGAAAGTGTTACGTGCAACTTACTATCAAATCTAATAGCAGATGGATCTGTGTAATGTTCAATCCGAATTTCTTATTGAATAGATTAAAACATAATGTGTGATTTTTTTGGTCGAACCTAAACTATATCTCTTAAGACACATGTTTGTATTGACTTTCTAAGCGCACCGTGTCAAGTTACACGCTTGGGCTATTGATGCGGTTGTCGGTTAAAAGATTAAAATGAAAATTTTGAAATATAAAGGGTGTAATTGAAATATAAGCTAAAGTTTAAGGCCTAAAAATAAATAAAAAATATAAAGTTAAAAATAGAAATAAAAATTTTGAAACGGGGACGGTTTTTTTCCCTTAATTTTCTGGAAACGCACGTGCGAAGTTACACGCTTGGGATTATTCTAGCGAAAGAGTTTCAATCTAAAATGCAAGGGTTTGGTTATTACAATCATCTCGGTAATTTGTGTGAGAGAGTCGGGGAAAATGGCAATGGCGATGATCCGATCCAATCTTCTTCGCGCCGCCTTCCGCGGTGCCTCACGAAACCCCGCTCAGCCTAAACGCGGCTTCGCTTCCTCTGCCCACGACGATGCTCGTAAGTCTCTTTCTCTCTCTCGGTATTTCGGATTGTGATCGTGTATGCGCTACAAACACGTCTCCCTCAATTTTCTTTTCTTTATTGACGGAATTTTTGCTTGTTGCTTTTGGAAACTTTGTTTAACCCGTTATATGTTTGATTTCATTCATTTGCCTGCGCTATTTTCATCTGACGAAATGGAGGGAAACAAGGATGATGTTGATTATTGAATCATGTTAAGAAATTTAGTCCAAAATGATTTGATCCGATGTTTTTTGTTCCTTTATGATTGGAAGTCTCGCGAAAGGAGGTGTTTTGAAATTTGAATTCTGATTTAAATGTTGTTATTCTTTAGTGTTGTTAAATCATCGAGCGGGAGTATATACATGACACATTTGAGAATTAACGTGGATGAGGTTTCCAGTCGCTAAGAAGTTAATTTGATTTAAAGCTGATGGGAAAGAAGAAAACAAGAGGGGCAAACATATTTCTTGATCCATTACTGAGTGGCAGCAGCATAATTCTTGATTTCTATGATTGCATTAAGAAAAGAAAAGAAAAGACATGAACGAAAGTCTTGGATGTGGCTTGTGGTAGGCTTAATTTAATTCTGATTTCGCATAAATAAGACATGAACGAAAGGAAACGTAAACTCAGTAAATTTATTAGAGGGTTTAGGGCTTTTTAATAAAACAATTCTTCCCCAGGATGAAGGTCGTGGAAGTTTCTCCACCTCTAACCTTACGCCTGCTTTTTTTTTTGTTCTTTTGATAACCGGGAGTCAGAACTGTGCTCCTCTTAGCCAGGCACCCACATCCACCTCAAGGCCCAGACTTAAGGAGACATCAAGGGTTTTTAGTATTATGCTCACCCGAAGGTTCGAACTTGGGACCTCTAAGTTGGTATGACCGAGAGGCCGCAAACCCCTTGCCAATGGGATCATTCCATGTGGGCTTTCCCGCTTCTTTATTTTCTCCCATTTTTTTCTCTCTTTTCTCTCACGTTTCTGGGTGGGGTTGGGGGAGGGGAACAGATATTCTTCTGTTTTTTTGTTTGAGCTAATCTAATTCAGTGTTGTGAATTTATTTTCTAGTAACCCACTGAAACATATACTTGATGGCTCTTTACGTTGTTTGGGTACAATTACTTATTGTTATTTCTAAATACTATTGCAGAAGGAATAACCGTATGCAGGAGTGCAATGATGCTTGTGCTCCCTATATTTTATCTCTCACACAAACTTTCTTTCTTTATGTCAGGTGAAACGGCAAAGTGGGAGAAAATTACTTATGCAGGCATTGTATCCTGCTCTATTTTAGCATTCTATAATCTATCAAAGGGCCACCCCCACTATGAAGAGCCCCCTGTGAGCTATAGCTTCAGTCAATTTATAATTTTTCCTCCACTTCTCAATATATTGGTTGCATTATGCATTGTTTCTCATTTGTGGCCCATTTTTTTTGGGTTTTCATTGTTTGCAGGCATACCCATATTTGCACATTCGCAATAAAGAGTTCCCATGGGGTAAGCTTCCACGTCATTACTAGTTCTATTACATCTTTTAGATCCCTTTGAAGTTGCAATTTGGGTTTTGAAGAGGAAACTAGAACTGGATACTGCTGTGATGACATGTAGTGTTATTTTCTTCCCATTAAAGATGATGCTATATTATATTATCTTTTCAATTATTTTTAATACTTTCTAGAAATAACGAACTCTATTTTCTACATGCATTTCAATATTCATTTTGTTAAAAAAGAAAGTGCCCAAAATGTATAATTTCTAAGTAGTGGTGGATTTTCTGAGTTGATTTATGGTGCTAGTCGTTTTCTTAAAATAAATTATTGTTTTTATGAATGTAACATTAAACATAATGTAGATTTTACAAATAATTAGTGATTATGCCTCTATGCTTTCCACAGTCCACGTTCATAATTATGGACGTTTTTCTTTGTTTGGATTGGACAGTGTTTATAGTAATCAGAAACAAAAATTCATTAGCAGTCATTATCTCTGTTTACAGCTTACGTTGCTTGAGCATAATGTTGAAAGTTGAACTTAGGCCATTGATAATGTTGGCATCTGGAAGCTGAACCATCTAACTTAGTTTCCCAAGCAAACTTACAGCTATTATGTAACGAATAGATTTGCTACCAACGGCCGCTAGTAACTCATAATTACCTCGTTCAGCTTGCCAACAGTTTTCTGATCTATTTTACAACCTCCTCCTTTCATTTACCGAACCCTCACTTAACTTTGAGCTGCCCCATCGTCAAATATCAAATGGTAGTTCAATGTCTACCACTTTCTGTTGTTGATCATCTCTAGGTTTTCCACTTTTATTTTTTGGTAACTCTGTTTGTACAGTTTCTTCTCTCGTTATATTTTAGAACAACTGCAGTTGAAACTGGTCTTTAAAATCTTTACAAGCAAAAACTTCATAGCATCATTGTAGGAAGTAGACCTAGAGATGTACTGCAGCATTTATCAAAACTGGGTGAATTTGATGGATTTTGCACTCTGTTCGTTTCTCGTCGTCCTTTTGCGTTTATTATTTGTTGTGAAAATAATTGTTTCACTTCAAATAATAATTTATTTTTTTTAATTCTCAACCCTTTGTTTGTTCATCAGGTCCCGATGGTCTCTTTGAAGTGAAGCATCACTAAGGACTTGCTTTGGTTCGAGGGGACATCGAGCATAGGAATTCTACTTCTCACTTTGTTCCATATCAGAAAGACTTCATCGACTGGTTCGGTTGAAATTTTCTTTACTAAGGATGCATGGTCATTTTTCATTTGTTAAAATGCTATCAGGGTCTGATATCTTTTTTGTGTTGTCAAAACTATCCTTCCTGATTAATAAAATTAACTTTCCATCATTCGAAAGCTGAGTTTGGATTGAAAAATGTGTTTGTAATTAGTGGTTACTTAGTAAACTGAAGCAATTATTAGGTTTATCAACATAGTTGGATCACAAGAACTAGAACAAGAACTTCAATGGTTTTATACACCACTGATCGGACCATTTTTTGTTAGTCGGTATAGATAGTAAATGGACTATACAGTATTGTGATCAGTCAAATATTGCAAAGTTCAAGTATCTATTACCTGTCAGAATTGGGCCATAATGCAGTTTCGGTATAGATAGTAAATGGACTGATTGAATTAGATTTGATTGGATAAGAAGATTAGAATTAGAGATTATCAAAAAGCAAGGAGATAAACTCAAAAAAACACTTTTTTGTGGCGTTTGAAATCAGGTCAAAATATAATTTTAATAATTAAAGTTTGATGATAAAAATAAAAAAGTACAAAACTAAATGATTTTAATAAATCACTGAAAACCCACTAAAATCATTATTTCTAAAATCATGTCATATCCACTATACAATATATTCTTTTTAAGCACTGTAATTCAAATTTTAAAACCATTATTGTTCGAAGTTGATGAACAAATAAATAATTGAAAAGTTGATGAACACAAATATTTAAGTTGAAATATTGAATCCAATTGATATTTTAATTTATTATTATTATTATTATTATTATTATAAAGATTTAAAAAATTGTAGTTAAAAGCGAAATGCTTTAACAGGCATGTTGCTTTATTTGCTGTCTGTCCCATTCCACCTTTTTTTGATGTGTTGAATTGTCAAAAAGTTCACAACTAAAGCTGTTTTCTACTTTCTATATTATTAATAAATTCATCCCAACATTTTTTTTTATTTTTTTAATTTAAACTAATTTGGTTACCCCCAAAATAAAAATAATAATAATAATTAAACATTCCTCCTTCCATTTTTGTATTTTCAAGGCAAAATAATTAGGTTCATTTCAAAGAATGTTTTTAAGTTAAATTATAAATTAAACCTTTTTAAAATATTAATAGATTGTTCTTTTTTTTAAAATAAAAA